CCTTCCCCCCACCACCACCCTGTGTGGTCGCCCATTGGCCAAAGTTAGTCGGCCAGGCGCCAACGCCCAGCAACGACGACCACACGCCGACACCACACACACCACACACCACCACCACCACACCACCACCACCACCATCACTACATACATGCATTCAATCACACTCGCTCACACAAGCGTGCCCCCATCTGCTGCAGGCGTCTGCTCGGCGACACCACATGCGGATGCGTGAGCGCGAGCGGATGGCTGAGACTCGGCGTGGAGAGCTGCACTCTCATCTGGCAACGGACAGGATTGAGTTTGGCGCCCATGTCTCCAACGATCGTGTCCAAGCCAAGCGGAGGATGCGTGAGATGCGCGCGGCTCAGCAGGAGGCTCAGATGGCTGCCGAGGTCGAGCGGACTGGTGCAGCTCGTGAAGCCGCCGCTCGCCGACGTGCCGAAGAAGTTGCGCTCGCCAACGAGGTCGAGCGCCGCAAGGCCGACGCACTGAGAGACGCCAAGCTCCGCCAGCTCATCCGCGAGGACTCGGCGGAGCTCCGCGAGCTGCAGTCGCGGCTCAAGGCCGCGTATCTGACCAAGGAGCGCGCGGCGCAGATGGCCGAGAAGGAGCTCATGTTCCAGCAGCGGGTCGCCGAGGAGCAAGCCCGTGACCGCCAGCTGCTGGAAGAGTGGCAGCGCGCCTTTGTCGACGAGGACGCCCGCATGGCCGCCAACGCTGCCAAGGCCACCGCCTACCGCGAGTCACTGCAGGAGCAGCTCGAAGCCAAGGAGGCTGCCAAGGAGGCTGCCTATGAGGAGTTCCTCCGTGAGAAGGCCATGATCGACGAGATCGTCGCCAAGATCCAGGCCGAAGACGACGCTTCCGCCCGCGAGCGACTGGAGAAGCAGCGCGAGACCCGCGAGTACATCGACGAGTTTATGCGCCAGCGCGAGGCCATCAAGACCGCCGAGCGTGCACGCATCGAGGCCGAGAACGTCGAAATCGCCGCATATGTCAAGCAACAAGAGGAACGCAAGGCGCGCTTCGAGGCCACCCGTCGCGCCAAGGACGCCCTCCGCGAGCGTGTCCGTGAGCAGCAGGCTGCCGCCATTGCCCAGCAGGAGGCCTCGCGCCGCGAGCTCGAAGACCTCCGCCAGGAGCTCCATTGGGAGGAGCAGGAGGCTGCTGCCCGTGCCCGCGAGCGCGCCGAGATGGAAAAGCGCATCCGCCAGCGCATCGAGATGCAGGCGTCGTACAAGGAGCAGATGGAGGCCAAGGCCCGCAGAGCGCAGGCCCGCCGCGACGAGGAGGAGGCCTTCCGCGCTGCCATGCTCGAGAAGTTTGCCCAGGACGAGAAGCTCGAGCAGATGGCCGCCAACAAGCGCCGCATGCGCCAGATCCAGCATCGCCGCGAAGTCGACGAGCTCATTCGCCAGCGCCGCGAAGCTTACGAGGCCGAGCTCTCTGCAGAGCACGACCGCCGCGCCCAGGAGCGCGAGTTCGAGGCCTATCGCGCCGCCATCATCGAGGAGGAGCGCCAGCGCCTCATCAAGGAGCACGCCTCCAAGCTCCTCGGCTACCTGCCCAAGGGCGTCCTCAAGGATGCCAACGACGTCAACCTTCTCCCGGAGGATCTCCGCTCCGGGTTCAAGCCCAAGCCCAAGCCGTACGGCTCCTCAGGCCCGGCCCCGCCCTGGGCCACCTCCTCCGCAGCCTCCCGCCCGGCCGCTTCTGCCCTGGCCTCCTCCGAGGGCAACTTCCTTGCTCATCCCGTCGCCGCGCACTCGCCGTACCAGACCACCAATCAGGCCAACTTTGCCCCGCCGCCGCAGGCCGCTGCAGGCCGCCGTCCGGCACACGCTGCGCCTGACTACCGCAACCGGCCCTTCCACCTGTAGCCCGGCCCAGTGAACGCCTCGCACTACACTGCACAACAACCTTCACTTTTTACCGATCAGAGAACCCGGCAGCCTCGACCTGGGCTAGCGCCTGCAGGAGCGACTTGCGCAAGTCCTCGTACCGGTCAAACTCGGGAAGCTCGAGAGCAAACGAGCACGAGTGGCCAAAGATCCGGTTCGACTGCTGGATAACGATGCGCTTCTTCTTAAAGCCGCCATACGGGACGGTGAAGAGCGAGGTCGTGAGCCGCAAGAACTGCCGCAGCCCGTGGAGCGAGAGCTCCGAGAGGAACCGCTTGATGTACCGCGGCGTCCGGCCCGAGACCTTCCACGACTTGGGGTGGAATGTCAACGCGCGCACAATGAGCCGCGAGTCGATGGTCGGCTCGCCACCGAGTGCGAGCATGAGGTCCGACGCGTTAAAGACCGAGAGGAACGTCCGCATGTCGCATACCGAGTCGACCGCAAAGAACCCGGTCTTGAGTGCCGCCAGTTGCTTCTCGCGGCACTTGAGGAGCTTGTCGTTCACGTGCCACTCAACGTACTGCGCCGCGTTGCCGGCCGTCACGTCGATGAGGTCGCCGTCCTCGTTGGGGAACGAGAGGCACCATGTCGAGACGTCCGGCTCGGTGAGCACCTTGTGGAGGTTGGCTGCTGCTGTCCGGTCGTAAGCCTCGAGATCGCGGATGTTGACCGGGAGCCCGAGAAGGTACTTGTACAGCGACGACGGGAATGGAAGGTACACAGACCGCGCGTCGAGCAGCGCCTTGCAGAGGACACGGCCCATGACCTCGAGAGCGTACAGCGACTTGGGCGACTCGGCCTTGGCCGACGGTAGGTACGCCTGGCCTGTTGCCTCGCCCGAATCCTCTGCACACTCAAAGAGCGCGTACCGTGGCTCAAATACGTGCATAAAGAACTCGGTGTACATGTCGCCCGTGAGCCCGCCCGCGTCTACGCCGGCCTCGCCTTCAAAGTGCACTTTGAGCGGGCAGAGCATTTCTGACGGCGCCAGCGACGAGAACGCCCGCACCACAGAGACTACAATGTCTTCGCGCGAGATTGTGAGCCGCACAAAGTTGCGCTTGTTCTGCGCCCGCAGTGCCTCTAGGTGCTTTCGCAGCAAGTTGATTTTCTGCTCGGACTCGAGGATCTTGCGGTCAGCAAAGAGCGTGTCGGCCACAGAGTGCGAGAAGAACTCGTGGGTGAGCGCCTCAAACACTCCGACCCGCTTGTCCGGGTCTGGCTGCAGCATGCCGTTGAGGAGCGACTTGAGCTTAACATCCTTGACATCATCACCGGTCGCTCCGTGCAGCACCTGGGCCATCGACGGCAGTCGACCCGTCACTGCCTGGTACAACATGATGCCGACCGAGTACACGTCCGAGCCTGGCACCACCCGCCCGCTCTCCACCTCGGGCCCCACGTACGCCGGTGACCGCGTGTTCTCGCCGAGCGGCGCCGCAGCAAACACTGAAATCGGCACCGCGTGCCGGAGAGAGACAAGCACCGGTCGAGACGCAGACGCATCGAGCCGGATGTGCCACGGGTCGAGCGCTCCATGCATGAGCTTGGCCCGGTTGAGCACCGCCAGACCCTGCAAGATCTGCAAGAACAGGCTCTGTACCTCCCACACCTTGAGCGAACCGTCGAGTACGTCCACAAGATCGACACCCACCACTTCGTCCATCACCACGTACGCGTAGCCTTGGTGAGTGTAGAGGCCGCGGGTAGAGACCACCAAAGGCGAGGTGATCGAGCTCAGCATCCGGTGCTCGTGCACCGCAGACTCGCGACTTGGGTGGACCTTGAGCACCACCCGTGCGCCCGACTCTTTCTCCACAGCCTGCAGCAGGCGGCAGCCGGAGACTTGACTCGCCCCGTTGGGCGGGAGGAGGACCCGCGACTGCGCAAACGCATCTGCGGGGTTCAGTCGTGGCATGGCAGACTCACCGTCGCCTCCACCGGGAGCGGCTTCCGCTGCCCCGCTGTCGCCAGGCAGCGACGCGCGGAGCTGCAGCACGAGCTCCCGGTCCGACTCGTGCGACTTGTCAAAAGCCCGCTTTGCTCCCTCTCCGCTATCGTCGTCGCTGACTTCAAACGGATCATCGTCAGCGTTGCCCGCCTTGCCGCCACTGCTGCCGCCATCCTTCTTCCGCCGCCGGCGCTCGCGCCGATGCGCTGCAACGGGCGACGCAAGCTCTGGTACCTCGAGCAGGACATGGAGGTTGCCCGAGTGCGCAGCCTCGCGCGCAATGTCGGAAATGAGCAGCCCACGTTGCGACTTGAGGTCTGTCAGCTCCTGTTCAAGTGCATCGTGCTCAGCATGCGCCCGTGCAGCGATTTCCACATCCCACTCGTCTTCGCGCTGGATGATCTCGCGCTTCATGTCGATAAGCAGCAGCGCCTTGGCCTTCATCGTCTTCTTCAGCTCCTCGGCCTGGCTCACCAGTGCCTCAACCTTGGCCTTGGCTTCATCCGCAGACACTAGTCTGCTTTCGAGCGTATCGACGGTGGCGCGCGCGCGCACAAGTCGTGCCCGCTTGTCGTCGAGCAGAAACCGCGACGAGACTGAGACCGCGTGCTTGAACATGACGTCCAGCCGCGCCTGGGACGCCGCAAGAATCTGCGCCTCCTCCTCCAACGCTTCGCCCAGCTCCGCCACCAGCGCTTCCACCCGCGCCGATGCAGGCGCCAGTCGCGCTGTCGCAGCCTCGGCCTCGCGCTCGGCCGCAAGCAGGGCGTCAAGCATCTCGTTCGCCGACACTGCTGTCATCGAGCTCGGCGACGCCATGCCCGAGCTCGAGTTGGCCACAAGCTCCGAGTGCATGGTGACCAGCTCAGTGTGGGCCTGCGCCACCGCGCTGAACGCGTCCGGCCCCTCGGACTCGCCGCACTCGCCGAGCTCCCGCTGCAGCCGGCCCATCAAACTCGCCACCTCGCCGCGGAGCACCCGGTACCGCCGCAGTTTGTGTGGGTCGAATGGAGGTCCGGTCCGCGGCGAGTCGAGCACGTCCACCACTTCCTTACCCTTGAGCTCGCGCATCGGACTCGTTCGCTCCGGCAAGCCAAGTGCCTCGCGGCTTTCACCGCCGAGCGAAGCTGCCAGCTCGGCTTCAAGCTCATCCATCTCGCCCACAGCCTTTTCCAGCCGAGTGAGAAATATCGAGACCGATGAGTCAAGGCTAGCCGAGGTGCAGTAAGCGCGTGCGGCCTCGGTCAGCTTGGCGAGCTTGCTGCGTGGTGCAAGAAGAACCTCAGCCTCGGCCCGTGACCGCAGCACACCGCGCATCTTGTCGGCAAGCCTGTCGAGGGCGGTCGGAATGAACGACTCGCTTGGCGACGACGGCAGCGCGCTCGTCGACCGACTAGCTAACGGCTGCGCCAACAAGCTCCGCATCCGCCGCCCGTCGCTTCGCTCCACCGGCGACGCTACAAACACTGTCGACTTGGGTGTGAGCACCCGTGGAGAGCCCTCGGTCATCGACTCGGCAGTCAGGCCGTCGGTAACCAGATTCGGGACCGACGCAATCATCGAGTCAGCATCTGTCGACTCGCCCTCGGAAAACGCCGAGAGGCCGAGTGGTGGCTGCGCAGTCGGTTCCATGCCTAGCAGCGTCGACGAGCGCGACCCATCGTCGTCTGTGTCAGACACCTCGAGCATCGGTGGTGGTTCCGCAATTGAGACTTGCGACATGCCCAAAAGATCGTGCGGTTGAAGGAGCGACGAGCCCGATCGGCAGAGGGATGAGCCCGAGCCAGTCTCAGAATCGAGCTCAGAGTCCGAGTCCGAGTTCGAGCCCGAGCCAGAGCCGGAGCCTGATTCAGAGCCCGATCCAGACTCGGTCCGCGTTCCCGTCCGGGAGTGTCCAGGCGTCTGCGAAGGCGTGGAGAGCTGCGCAAGGAGATCAATATCAGTTCCCGTGGCCGAGCCAGTCTCATCAACATCCCCGGCGCGTGCGAGACGTCGCGCCCGTGAGCTCACCAGTGTCTCGTCGCCGTTGTCGTCGTCGTCGTCGTCGTCTTCGTCGTCGTCGGTCACAACCTCGGCGTCATCATCATCGTCGTCATCCTCGTCCGAGAGCTCGTCTGAGAGCACAACGCCGCCTGCGCGGACCGCGGCAGCGCGGGCCTTGCCCGCTGACTCGTCCGACTCAAACGAGTCGCGGCGCTCGACGTGGGCGAGAATGTCTCCGGCCACATCCGAGGCGGTACGCGGGAGCGGCGGGAGCGGTGGCGGCGGCTCGGTCCCGGTCTCCAACCGCGAGGACGAGTCGGAAATGTGCATCGATGACGGCTCGTTGGCGTCGTCGATCTCCTTTCCGGTGCCGGCAACAGGCCGTGGCGCGAGCGAGTCGTCGTCGCTTCCGGTCCCGTCGCCGTCTCCAAAGTCGGCCGCGCTTCCAGTGGCTGCCAGCGACTTTGTCGACGTCGCCCCGGACTTGTCGTGAACGTCAAGTGCCGCCTGTGGCAGCTTGGCGCGCCTGGGTGTGGCCATGGCCGACGAGCCGGACGCCTTGGGGCTCCCGACGCCACCCTCGGGGTTCGAGGTGTTGAGCTCGGGAACGGAGTCGTCAGCAGCGTGTTTGCGCGTTGCGTTGGTCGTGTTCTTGTGTCGCGCTCGTTCAGCGCGGGCGGCCTTGACCGCGGCGGGAGACTGGAATGGCGGCGGAGTAACCTTGAGCTCAAGTGCCCCGTGCTTGCGGAGGAGCGAGACGGCGCCATCGTGCGATCGGCGCGACGCCCAGTACATCGGCGTCTTGCCCGACCGGTCCGGCAGGAGCGGGTCGGCACCAGCTTCGAGAAGCAGGTCGAGGACAGCAAAAGCGCCCGACTTGGCGGCGCCGATAGTCGGCGTGTCGGCAACCGCGCCCGGTGGATAGAGATCCGGCTGGGCGCCGGCTGCCAGAAGCTTGCGCACAATGTCGTCGTGGCCCTTGGAGGCAGCGGCAAGGAGCGCAGTGCCCCGCTCGCCAAGCTGGCCGTTAAAGGCGTCGACCTCGACCTTGGTCTTGAGGCTGCCCGAGAGCATGAGATCAACCATGGCTTCGTGCCCATATCGGGCTGCGAGATACAGCGGTAGCTCACCCTTGGCGTTCCGCTTCTTGACCGCTGACGGGTTGGTTGTGACAAAGGCCTTGAACACATCGAGTGCACCGTCGATGACAGCCTCATGGATTGACGAGGTGTAGTGCGACGAGCCAAAGGCCTTTCCGCCCTTGATTCCGTCACCAGTCATGAGCGCTGAAAGGTTCGAGAGCGCTTGCGGAGCGAGCACCGCCGCCTTGGCCCGCTCCGAGCCCGACGCTTGCGCGTGCTTTCGCCCTCCGGCCTGGATGAGCAGCGTCGTCCAAGTCCGCAGCCGCTTCTCGGACATGGCCGCAAAGTACAGCTTTTCCCGAGTGGTGTGCGAGGTGACGGCAAAGCAGTGGCGCGAGGTGTCGGGCGCGTTGGTGACAATGGCGACTCGGGCGTGGGCGGTGTCAATAGTGCGGATGCAGTTGACTGGCCGCGGCGCGGTCGAGCCGTCGTCGGTCTCGCGAGACTCAAAGATCGAGAAGATCGAGCCGCGGAGGACACACCACCGCTTGGCCCACTTGCCTCCCGACGGCCGGCAGTTGAGCCAGCCGTGAACCTTTTCATACGCCGCCTGGTCGCTCTTGCTGCTGTCCTTCTTCGACTTGCTCTTGCTGGAGCCTGAGCCCGAGCTTGCGCCGGCGGCCGAAGCCGGTGGACGAAGCGCCTCGCGGCGGAGCGCAGTAAGCGTCGACGGTGATGTGACACCGGTGCTGCCGCCGCCGCTGCTGGCGGCGGCGGCTCGGTCGGACGACGGCGAGTCTGCCGACTTGAGCAACCGCTCAATGGGTGACATGATGCCGTTGGCCGAGCCCGGCGAGGCCGATGCCGGGTAGTCAGTCGGCGCCAGGAGCGACGACGAGGTCGGCGGCGGCGGCGACGAGCTTGTGCCGGGAATGTCGACAGGTGTCGATGTCTGCCCGGGCGTGGTCGAGAAATGCCCAAAGTTGGTCGGCGGGCGGTTGATGCGCTCGCTCGTCGACGCTCGCCCGCGCCCGCTCGGCCGACTCGACGGCGGGTCCGGCAGCATTGAGATAGGCGACGTACGCGACGCCGGCGGCCGCATGCCAAACTGTGTAGGCGGTGAAGAGCTGAGCGATGATGCGGCACCGCCCGACGTGGCTCGGTTGCGTCGAAAGGCGAGCGCAGACGATGGGCCGGAAGGCACGGACGAGCTGCCGCCCGCCGAAGCCTTGGCCGCGGCCTTGCGCAAAAGCTTCCGCCACGACTTTTGTGTCGCGAAATCGGCCGGCGTCTTGCCAGCATGGTCGGTCATGCCCGGCTCAGCGCCGAGTTTGAGGAGGAGCTTGAGCGTCGACTTCTTCGAGCCCTTGGCCGCCATGTGCAGCGGCGTTTGGCCCTGGTCGTCCGCGAGATTGATGAACGCGCCGGCAGCAGCCAGGGCCTCGATGACCTTGTCCTGCGCAGAGCGTGCTGCAAGGAGCAGCGGTGTTCGCCCCGAGCAAGTCATGGTGTTGATGTCGGCGCCGACTTCGCGAATGAGATACAGCGCGACCGTGCGGTGGCCGCCATGTACCGCACGGTGCAGCGGCGTCGCGCCGTTCTTGGTGTCGGTAATCGACACGTTGGCGCCGGCAACGACAAGAGCCCGCACAACCTCGAGCGCGCCGATTGAGCACGCCACATGCAGCGGCGCCATGCCCTGTGAGGTGTTGATGGCGTCGGGATCCGCGCCGGCGTCAAGCAGTGACCGCGCAAACTTATCGTGGCCCTTCTTGCATGCAATGTACAGCGGCGTCCCGAGCTTGGGATGCGCCTTGTCGACCCGTGCCCCGGCCTGCAGCAGGAGCGGGAGCATCTTGGTTCGGTCGTAGAAGGCAGCCACTTGCAGCGGCGAGCAGCCGGTCTCGCTCGACGCCGCGTTGACGTCGACCAGCGGGAGGAAGGTCTGCAGATCGTTCATCGAGTTATTCGCCACTGCGTCGCACACATGGGTGCTGGCCGCAGACGGCATTCCGGCCTGTGGGCCGGTCGGTCCACCCACCCCGAGCCCCGCCGACCCGGTCGAGGACGCCGCACCAGGCCCGTACGCGTTGGCCGCAGACGCCGAAGGCGGTGGCGGCGACGACCCAAACATGTCGAGTGATGCTCACAGTTCAGTCAAGGAGCAAACTGAGCGTAGATGAGGAGGGCAGAGAACAAAATGTGGTGAAGGAGGAGGTGGTGATGGCGGTGGTGGTGGTTAGCTGGTGGTGGTCTCGCCAAGAACAACCCAAACGCGTTGAGAAGGTTAGGAGAGGGGGGGGGAGGGGGGGGCACGAGCCACAAACGATTGCACAAAGATGCAGATGTTCGTTCGTAATCGTTCGTTCGCTGGTACGACAACAAGATAGTTGGCCTCTGTTGCCGGCCGTCAACTAATGGACGACGTCAATCAAGAGTGTCTTAGAGACAGAGACAGAGAGATCTCGTCGATTGTCGTACGTGGATAAAAGGGTGTAAAGAGATGGGTTCAAGTCCGTGGCAGCAGCTGCAAACGTCGGCTTGTGGCAGTGGAGGGCCTGGCACTGGTTCCCCAATTGGCTTTGGTCTCCCGCACTCCTTAGGTGGTGAAGACGAACAAGCAAGCCGTTCCGTGCAAAGCTCGCAAACACAAAGAGCGGGAGTGTCTGCAAGGTGGGCGGATACAAACGGTGTTTGGTAAAGAAGTTCGCCCCGTAGGTGGTGGAGGTTGGGGAGGAGGGGGAGGGAGGAGGAGGGGGGGAGGGGAGGGGCGGCGAGAGGTGGTGAAACCAGCCACTGCGGAACGATGCCCACATTGGTTGACATTGCGAAGCACAGCTCGCAACCTGTCACAACCGCATGTCACTGCGAACCCCCGTTGACTACCTGTGGAAACGATTTTATTTCTTGAATCGCTCGGCCTTGATCACACAGACAAGAGAGTGTGTGAGTTTTCTGAAAGCCTTTACGGCTAAAACCCGAGACCAGTCTGCAGCCTGTAGCGGCGCTGGACCACATTCTTGCGGCCGGAGCGGCGCATGGGGCGACGCTTGAGCGGAAGTGAGGTGTTTCGCGGAATGTCTGTGCCCTCCTCGGCGGCCAGCGCCTTCTTCTGATCGATCTGAATCTTCCAGGTCTCCTCGAGCTGGCGGCGCTTGGCCATGCGGCGCTCGTGGTCGGCCATTGTGGAGGCAAAGCGCTCGGTGGAGAGCTTGGCGAGCTGCTGGCGCTCATTCTCGGTATCGCGCGCGTCTTGTGCAGCCTTGGCTGCCTTGCGCTGCGCAATTAGCGCCATCTGGTCAGTGAAGAGCTTGCGGGTCGAGGCCTGCTGCGCCGCCTTGGTCTCCGACTCCTTCATGGGGATGATGCAGAGCGCCGGGGCAAGCGCGTTCGCGCGCGCCTCCTCCAGTCGCGCCTTTTGGGTAAGCTCCATCTGCATCTTGAGCGTCGCCGCAGTCGCGGCCTTCTTGCGGGCAAGCTCGGCCTCGTACTCCTCGTCAGCGCGGTCGAGCTCCGAGTCGACGATGGTCTGCGTCACTGCCGCGTACGCCATCTCTTCCTCGATGGCCTGGCGCTTGCGAGCGTTGCGGTAGTTGATCTGCTCCTCGAGCAGGAGCGAATACTCGTTGGCCTTCATGGCCGGCGGCGGCGTCGCAGGCCGGTCGCCAAAGATCGGCTTCTCCTCAAACGCCCGCTCCGACTGCCGCATCAGCTCGCGCGTCCGCGCCCGCTCGGCCGCCATCTGCTGGTTGAGCTTGCGGATCCGCTCCTCCTCCGCCCGCCGCTCCGCAGCCTCGGCCGCGTCCTTGGCTGCCGCCTCGGCCGCGTCCGCCGCCAGCGTTGCCCGGATGTGTTCGTCCATCGCGTCCTCCTTCATCTGCACCACCCGCTTGGCCGCCAGCGCCTCACGGTAGTTGCGCCGCGCCTCTTCCACGCGGTCGTAGTCGTACACTTCGTCGTCACCCTCGCCCTGCTCGATAGTCCGCCGCCGGGTCTTGGCCAGGCTCGCAGGTGCCACCGACGTCCCGGCCACCCACGTCCCCTCGGCAGGCGGCCGGTCGAGAAGCACGCCGCCCGGGTCGTTGGCGTCGGTCGCCTCCACCGGCGGCCGGACCGTGCCGGACATCGGCCGGACCGGCGGCGCCTGCGCCTCAAACATCGACGACCCTCCCTGTGAGCTCGCGCTCGAGCTCGGCCGCCGCCTGCCGGCGCTGCCGTCGAACCGCACGCTCTGCGGCGGCGCACCGCCTCCCCGCGGCGAGCTCTGCGCAGACGCCGGTCGCGACGAGCCGGTCCGGATCGACGCTCCGGCACGCGAGCCCCGGCTCCGGCTCCGGGCCAGCGCTGCAGATGCAGTCATCGGTCGCGCCTTGGTCGTTGCCCGCTTGCCCAGCGCCCGGCACTGCTCCACAACCTGCGGGCTCCACTTCATCACCGCCGACCCGCCGCGGAACAGCAGCCGGCCCACGCCCACGTCGAGCGTGACTGGCTTGCGGACATGGATGGCATCGGCAACAGCAACCAGCACGTCTTTGAGGACAGCCGACACGGCCTCGCGCGAGCTGCCCGTCCGCCGGGCCACCGCCGCCAGATTGAGCGAGACCTGCGGAATGCGCGAGGTTGGATGAGCCTTCTTGCTCCGCACCCCATGCGTCCTTGCAAACCGCTCGTTGAGGTAAAATGCAGGCGCCGCCCGATGCTTCACGCTATTGCCCAGATCCGTGCTCGCCGCAGAAAAGGTAAACTGGCCTAGACCGGGGACGACCACGCCCTTGCCTTGCGCCATGCCACCAGCCACAAACTGCCCAATCCCACGCCACACAGCGCCCATCTCTGCCCCACCCGCCCAGACAGACACCTCGCCCTCTCGTGAGTCTCGCAATTCTTCTCCTTCTCCTCTCCTCTCTCTCCCACCCTGTCTTGCTCCTCCAGACATGCCTTCCCCCGCTCTCCTTCAGCCTGCCTGCCGCCCGATCGACCTCGCCAACGGCTGGCGGCCGTTTTTTGGCTCGTAGCACCGCTCCCGCGGCAATGCAACGGACTGGCCTGTTGTAGCAGACCACTGTGGGCAACTGCTGTACTTGGCGGCGTACCTTCTGCAGAGAGGCCCGTCAGGCCGTAGGGGCTCTTGACGCACGCCTGGATCAGATCGCCCGTGTTCATGCCTGCGAGTTACGTGTACTCGCTCGAGCCGCTCAACACCCACCAACCGACATTGACACGCCCACCGGCCGCCCGGCCGATTGACGGCTGACCCCCCCCCCCCCCAACCAAACCGCCCACCTCCATCATTCTCTTCTTTTCATAAATGGGCTGCATCGCTACACGTACTCGGATCCAAGTGACGAGGTTGATGAAGATCCCGAATGCCCGTGGACCGAGGCTAGGCCCAATCCCGAGCCTGAGTCTTGCCCCGCAGCAGGCACAGCAGGCACAAACGCACCGCTGCTGGTTCCGGGCACCGACTTCAGCCGCGCCACGAGGCGATCCTGGAGCGCCTTTGGGTCTGTATCCACAGCTTCCTTGTCCACCATCTCCAGCAGCCTATCAAGCCGCACAGACGAAGTGGTGTACGTCGAACTCGACGAGCGCTCGCGGTAGATCTGGCTGATGTCGCGGATGACAGCGTTGGCACAGACGGCAACAAGGACGCCGAGGCAGATGAGGGTGCCCACGTAAAGAAACGTCTCCGAGCCGCCGCTCGTCGACCGCTCCGCGTAAGACGCCATGCCCATAAAAAGCAGCGAGAGGAGCGCTGCAGAAATGCGCACCTCGGTCTCATCGTACAGCGGAAAGTAAAACGGCCGGTTCGAGGCCACAAAGCCGAGCGAGCCCACAAAGACCACCACAAGCAGCGCAAACTGCCCAAGCGGGAGAGACGAGAAAAACAGCGTGACAATGACCAGGATCAGCCGCCGGCACAGCTCGGCGATGCCGACCCAGTAGTACGGCAGCCGGTAGAGACGATATAATGTCCCCAGCCGGAGGTACGTCGAGTTCTCTCGCAGCTGGTACGACGAGAGATACAGCCACACCCATCCCAAAAACGGAAAGCCAAACACAAAGACGATGACAAAGGCCACGCCAAACGGCAGCGACGACCACCACGCCGCGTCCAAACACGCCACACCCGGATCCGCGTCAAGCACCACGTCGCCCGACGGCAGCTCGATGCAGTCAAAGAGCATGAGCGCGTTGCGCGCAACAGGAATGTACACCAGCGGTGCAAGCGTGTTGAGCACAGACTGGACCGCCGCCGAGTAGCTCATGTTGTTGAGCGTTACAAACCGCGCGTACAGATCGCCCACCGTCGCCTTGATCATCACAACCACCACCGTCGGTGCGAGCAAAAACGTCGCGAAAATGCCCAGCGTCGTCAGATACCGCGCATGCCAGCTCCTGACTTCGCACTCGGTGGCAAACACTGTCGTGTCCACGTTGGAGAACGCAAAGACGGAGAGCACCTGCTGCGACGCACGAGTCCACGCAAACGAAGCCTCCGAAAACACGCCCACAACCTGGAAGGCCACAAGCGTCATCGCGAGCGTCGCTGGCAGCATCCGCACACGCAGCCCAGTCACGTTGGCGTTCATCTTGAGCGCAATGACTACGCCGATGAGAACAGAGACCGACAAGAGCACAAAGGCCACGCCCGAGAACGCATAATCACTTCCACCCGGGCACGCCAGGCACTCGCCCGTCGGCCCGGTGTAGTATGTCTCGGCGCATGCCGAACACATGTACCCTGTCGAGCCAGTCGAGCACAAACCGTTGCCCACGCACACCTCCGGCCGCAGACACCGCACAAAGTTGGTCGAGCCTGGCCGGATCGGAAAGAAGTCGCTTGCCGCAATCGGCGCCTCGTGTCCGCCACGGCACACCCCGCCCGGCGGGCACTCGATGCACGGCTCGGCAAACGACACATTGTCCGGCCGCCAGTAACCGGGTAGGCAGAGACACGGTAGCGCCTCGCCAGTTACCACCCCTCCTGTCGTCGAGTTGGCCGCCACATCCACACGAACCGAATTCTTCGGGCACGCCGGAATAACATCGCACGGCGCGGTCGACTCGTCGTTCGAGAACGTGCCCTCGCCACACTTGCCGCACCGCAGTATGCCATCCTCTTCGCTCACCAGCGCGCCGAACCCGATCGGGCAGCTGCCGACCTCGATGTCCACCGACAACGTCGTCACGCCATCATACAACACGTCCGGCTTGAGCTCGAGTGTCACCGGTGTCGGGCCGGCCGCCACCGCGGCAGTAGCCACAGAGACCACCATGCCGCGGACCGAGAGTGTACCCGCCACGCTCGGCTTGATCCCGAGCTCAAAGCCCTGGACCAGTGCAGAGCTCGCACTCGCCGCCGCCACACTGCCCGCAATCGAGTCGTCCTTCACCCGGTTGCCGAGCGCATCCAACATGACAAACTCGCCTGCCGTCGCCGGCACTCCAGAAGTGAGCCTACCACTCGCGACCTCTTGTGCCATTCGCACCGGCGGCGTGGCGCGAAGCAGTCCATACCCGTTGCCTCCAACACTTGCCACGCTCGCTGGATCAGCTGCCACGCTTGCTGGCAGCGCCAACCACGTGTAGCTCGATGCCAGCGGAGGCGCCGCGCCGCTCTCAAGCGGACACGTGAACTGCAGGCCGCCGCCAACGCCAGCCACGTTGCCGCCTGCCACGCTCGCCGCGGTCAGCTCAATACCCGCCCCACACGCAAACGAGAGTCCGCCGTAGTCAGCCGAGCATCGCCCAATCTGCGCGCCGGTCTTGGACGTCAGCACTGCGTACGCTCCTGGCGGCGGGGGCGGGGGCAGCGCCACGCCTCGCAGCATGCCTGCAGACGCTGAGCGAGCCACGCTCGCGTCGGCCACCGGCATCACGTAGCTCACAGCATCAACCGTAGACACGCATCCGCCAAACGCCGCCCGGCACTCGGTCACCACCGCACCGCTGCCGAGCACCATCGTGCCTGGCGAACATCCGAGACACGCCAGGCACCCGCCGGCGCCGGCCGTATTGCCCGACACCGTCGACGCCACAATCTCGATCTGTGGCAGCGGGTCGTCGTCCGACTCGCGCGTCGAGGGCATCGCAAACGCTCCGCCGCCACTCGCAACAGCAACGTTGTTGCTCATTACACTCTCGGACAGCGTCATCTGCCCCGACATGCCGAGAAGCGCGATGGCGCCGCCACCGCCCTGGATCTCAAACGAGCCTGACGCCACATTGCGAGTCAGCGTCGTCCGGATGAGCCACGCCTCGGCGGTGTTGCCAGTCACCGCCACCGCGCCACCCGCGACGCGCGCCGTGTTGCCCTCCAAGCGAGTGTCAAGCGTCTGTAGAATCGCTGCGTCGCGGACTGAGATCGCGCCGCCGAGCCCCGAGAGACTCTGGACCCCGCTTGAGGTCATCGAAGAGCAGTTGGCGACAACCACATCGCGCAGCATGAGCCGACTCTCGCCGGCTGTCACCACGCCGGCTGCACTCGTTCCCGAGTGCCGACCGTCGTCCCAAACACGCTCATCTTGCTCAGCAACGTCCGTCCGTAGTTCTCCAGCAGCGCGCCGCCGCCGCCGCCGCCACAGTCGATGGTGGCTGTGCTACCTCCGCCCGCCGGGCGGATGATCAGCTCTTGCTCCTTCTCGACGTACTGCCCGCCAATCCGAGTGCACCCATGCACCACAGCCGAAATCTCGACCACAGCCGCCCAACAAGTCGGCCCCGCCGTCAAACCGCCCAGCGTCGGCGCGATTGAAATGGGGTTTGTCGAGACAGGGACGGTAACCAGTCGTGGGTTGGTCATCTTGACTGCTGCCTGGCCAGCAAGCACATACCACGAGCCGCTGTAAGTGGCACTCGTCCCGCCGTTGGCAGGAGTGGGCCCCAGAACAAGCATCATATCACTGATGCCGTCGTTGGTGACGTCGCCGGCGAAAGCGCCGTGGATGTAAGTATGACTTAACATGTCGATGGTGAAACCACCAAGACCATCAAACAGAACCCGCCAGAGCTTGCATGCCGTCGCCCCAACATCCCTATCCAAAACTGCAAAATCAGCCAGCCCGTCTCCATCCATGTCCGCAGCCAGCGACCATTGAATGGTGAACTTGCTCAGCGTTGCCGTCCCGATATTCCCGCCGTACACCATGCCTCCAGCTCCATCACCCAGAAAGTACACCAGATCAGTGGCACTGGAGCTGACACAAATCATGTCTAAATGGTTGTCCACAAGTTGGTTGATGTGCAGCACCTCCATCGCTTGGGCACATGCAGACGTGGAAGACAGCGTTGTCGGTGCCCCAAACTCGCCCGGCCCAGTCGCCAGCGCAACAACAAGCGACCCCGCGCTCCTTCCAACAATATCTGCCCAGCCGTCGCCGTTCAAGTCGCGAGCCCGCATACCCTGAGCACCCATGGTGGATGGGAACGTGAGCAGCGCAGAAGGCGTCGTGACTGGGCCAAAGCCTGGACGAGATTCCAACCAAGTAACCTGCTGCGTTGCAACACACACAACGTCGCTAATCCCGTTGCCGTCCACGTCAAAGCTGAACATGGCTTGGACGTTTGGGCAGGGAAGCGAGCGGAACGAAGATGGGAACCGACCTTGGCCATCGTTGATATACAGCTCAACCAGTGATGTGACCCTGACAAGGATGTCCGCGTACCCATCCCCAGTCACATCAACGACCTGCAGAGCAACGGGAAAGCTGGACCGTACCACTTGGCTCAACACAAAGCTGGCACTTCCACGCCCAAGATAAACCTGCACACCAGCAGCGTTGCCCGTCACGGCGTCGTTGATACCATCCCTGTTCACATCGGCCACCTCCACAGTCATCGGTGCCGCCGATCCAGACGTCGACGGCAGATCACTGAGGCTAATTCGCTCTCCCCACGGCGCGATGCCGGCTGAGACCTGCCCGATCGGTACGGCCTTGATGGCGGCGCCCGACGCAAGATATACCCTCGTCGCATCGCGTCCAATCCGGGCACGTAGCAGCAAGCCGGACGCCACGCTCATGACCAGGTGCTCGCCCTGGCCAAACGAGCCCAGACCCGAGTTGGGCGCCACATACACTTCGCTTGTCGTCACCATCAGCACGTCCAGCGATCCGTCTGCGTTGATGTCGCCAACAGCCACCTCGGATAGACTCGAGAGCAAGCCGTGGACGGACGACACTCGCGTGTCTGCCAAGCGGCCGCCAATGTTGCTAAATATAGAAGCTTGGTTGTACTTGCTGATCAGGACGTCAGCAAAGCCGTCGCCTTCAAAGTCGCACACAGTCACCTGTACAGAGCCGCCAAAGGAGGGAGCCGCGGCTTGAAAAATGCTTGCCTCAAACTCCCCGCCGCCAATAGACGGCCAGACCCGGATGTCGCGGGATGGCAACAGGACCACTACGTCCGTCATACCATCGCCATTGACATCGCCAGCGCCACATGCCTGCACAAGGTTGCCAGTCGGGTCGACCACGTGGCCGACAAGCCGAGATGCTGCCGCAGAGTCGGGAACTAGCACCGTCATAGTTGATGACAATCCCCCCGAGAAGCACACCAGCAACTGCTCGCGACCGTTACCCACGAAATCGCCGCTGGCCACGCCCACCAGATCCGTCTGGCCTTCCTCTGCGGCCGCATGACTAGCGTGCTGCACAAAGGCGCCGCCGGTCCCATCGCTATTCTCCAGCACTACCGCATGCCCCGCGTCGGTCACCACCACAACATCATCCGCCGATGACGACGCTAGCAAGTCCGCCGCCACCAACGCCAGCGAAAGATTGGCGACCGAGCCGATGGTCCCTCCGCTGGTCAGCGTCAGATCGGCAGCCGCAAACATGGCCTCGACCGCGTACGGACCTCCGACTCCGCCGCCTGCCACCACCACATCCAGCTCGGCATCGCCATTGAGCGCTGCCATGGCGCCCACAATCACCGCTGCGCTGGCGGTCCCGGCATTCACGGGCGTGACCGGCTTGTAATTGGGCTTGTTACACACGGCCACCGCCACTGGCGCCAGAGCCACCATCACCACAGCCACAGCCGCCACAGCCACCACTGCCAACCGCATCATCGTGGTAGACCACATAGTCCACGAGTTGATACGTTTCTCTACCCAGGCTTCCTCAAGTGCGGTATGGGGTTGAGAGGTGGGCGTGGCTTTGGCCGTGGGCGCGGGAGTGGTGCAGGACGCTGGTGCGCCAGTCCGGCAGGAGTCGCTGCGCACAAGCGGCAAAGCAAACACCGGCGCGCATGTACACAACATTCCCACAGCCCACCACAGACACTAAATGTCACACATGAGAGTACAAACAACATAGCAAGCATGCACATGCCACATCGTAGCTGTATGTTGTGTAAACCCCCTCAAATGATCACAACGGACCAGTACACCCTCGCACCATGCCATGCATGCACCGCCTTTCCCCCCTTCCAATGTGGTTCAACCATTGACTTCAACTTAGGCAAATTTGTGCGAGTTGAGGCGCCATCCCCAAAAACAGCCACATGAGGGGGACTGCGAGCAGGCCGGGTCGGGGGGCCGACAAAGACAGCACGTTTGGGAGACACTTTACTCGGACTATTGGTGGTATGCGTGTATTATATGCTGTAGTAGTGGTCCTCTTTGTTGTCTCCTGTCCTGCATGTGGCTTGCAGATGACGTCGACTACGGCTCGCCTGGCCGACCTCGCGTCGACCAGCGGGAGCGCAGGCAAAACTCCGTTTGTGGCTGTGAGCACTGCGCCTGGATCATCGGAACTGATTGTGGCCTCGACGACAAACTCGGGTGAGATCAATCTTTGGTTTTGTGCTTCTGCGGCCGATGCCTGCACCAACGTTGTCGCTGCTTTCTCGGAAGCCGTCGTGCCATCGTTGGCCGTCTTTGCCGATGGCCGTCTGGCTGTCGGAGCCAAAGGCTTGTACGACTACCTCGACTCGTGGTACACAACTGGGCACGATGGCGCAGGGCTCACCTTTTCGAGAAAGCCTGGGCAATTTGATGACTCGTACGCACAGAGCTTCACTACCTACAACTCGGCGACAGGTAAGGTGACGTTTGTGGCTCTTGCCGGTAACAGGCCGTACATCCTCACCGCCGATGAGAGCCTGTCCGGATGGACCCAGTCGAGCCAGCTCGAGGCGAGCTCACAGTCGTCGATGGTCACGATTGCACTCAACGCCGACAATACAAAGGCGTACGTGGCAAGTGTGGCATCGACGGTGCCGCTGCTGCATATCTGCAATCCGGACGGTGAGGCGTGCAGCTCGGCGTCGCTCTCGACAACGGCGGCCAGTATGGACAAACGGCTGAGCCTGGTGATTGATCCTACCAACCCCAACATTCTCCTCGGCTTTACCGGCACGGACGAGCACTACTACATCCTCCGGTGCGATACCTCAGGCACCGGATGCATTGAGACCGACATGACGGCCGAGTCGGGTGTATCCGGCTTTGGCGTATGGGGTGCCATTGCCATCGATGCCAACGCCTCGCCTCCGCGCCTCCTTGTCGCTGCCGAGTCGTCCGTCGATGGGCGGACTTCGATCCTCGCCTGCAACGTGGACGTCACCAACTGCGCCACCTTCACTCCCACCGGCATGGCGACCAACACCGGCCTCGAGCCGCACCTGGCGGTCCTGCCGGACTCGCGAATTGCTGTCGCGACTCGGGAAGCGACGTCTTTTGACGGATACCTGCATGTTCTCACACTGCAGCCGCCGCCACCGCCGCCGCCGCCGCCATCGCCGCCGCCATCGCCGCCGCCACCACCGTCGTCGCCGCCGCCGCCGCCGCCGACGTCCGACGCCACCACCTCGCCAGATGGTGCGCTCTCTACTGCCGGCGCGGCACAGTCGCCTGCCCCTGTCTTCTCGAAGCATAGCACCATGCTTGTTTCGTCTGTGGCTCTCCTTTTCTTCCTTTTGGCCGTCGTCTTTATCGTCCTCGTTGTCGTCCGCAAGAAGCGCCGGATGGCACTTGCGCGCGTCGGCATAATCCCGGGAACCGAGTCGGCTGCCGCCGCCTTTTCCGACCGCTTGCTCGAGTCCGCCAGGCCATCCAAACCCGAAGCGCGCGCCTCGGTCGCACTTCTTGACTCTGGAGGGCAATCCTCGCGGTCGGGCTCGTCGCCGATGCCGTCATCGCCGTCATCATCGTCGGCATCGAATGCATCGTCGCTCTCCAACTCTTATTCAAACACGCGATCGCGTGAGCCGGGCATGACTGCCTCCCACCCCGCCATCGTCGAGGACCCGGACTCAATGGCGAAATCCCCGCCGTCCCGCCGCGTCATGTCCAACCCGCGGCGCACAAGCATCTCTAGCCGCCGCGAGAGCAAGACTGCCTCTCCGCGCCGCCTCGCCTCTATCTCGCGAAAGTCGAGTGGGGCACGATAAACCTCTCGTGTCGTAGCGATCGTCTTTGCTTCATGTTTTGTAGAGAACCAAGTGGAGGCTCCACGTCTGCGAGGGTGTGCGCGAGAGTCGGGCAACCGTTTTTGATGATCCCACGTCTCAAGCACAGTGTGATGAAAACACGCTGCAATGACCATGACGGGCCAGCATTCCCCAGAAACAACACAGCCACAAACCCGTGCAACTCCCCAGATGTACATCGTCATCCACGTATCACATCTTCCCACATCCAGTTGCGATATCCCCCCCTTCACTCCCCCTCTTCTACGCTCTGCCCCACCACGCCATTTTTTCGTCAGTGATACGTTAGCAGGAACACCTCAAGTCAGCCAAGGTGCTCAACGGAGACCCATGACCGTTCCTCACCGCCCGCACCCCGCGCCTATCCTCTCTCACCTCGCTCTCCCCCTCCCCCCTCCCCTCCCCTGCCCCTCTCACCTCGCTCTCCCCCTCCCCCCTCCCCTCCCCTGCCCCTCTCCCATGGCGGAAGATCGTCGGGGTGAACCGACAGGCCGAGAGGGACGAGCAGGCGGACCAGACGACGCAGCCGAGCACGGCACGGCAGAGCAGGCGGACCAGACGACGCAGCCGAGCACGGCACGGCAGAGGAGGCGGGGATGGCATAGGCGAAGTGGACGAGCTGGAGCTGGGCGATGGTGTGGCAGGAGTGGGCGATGATGCGGCAGGAGTGGGCGATGATGCGGCAGGAGTGGACGATGGTGCGGCAGGAGTGGACGATGCAGGCGCGTCAGAGAGCAGACGGAGATCGGGATGGCGGGTGGAAGAAGGCGATCCGAGTCATGAGCTAGTGATCATGATTCTGGGCATTCGGACGGTGGTCTCGCAGACCCGCGAGCTAGAGGCCGACACCATCCTTACTCCAGCCGACTCGACAGAGGTTCTGCGGTGGAAGTTCCTCTCGGACGGCACGCCCAAGACGCCCGCGCACAAGCACTCCGACTTTAAGTTCCAGGACTATGCGCCGCGGACGTTCAAGGCCATCCGCTCGATCTTTCTCAACGAGGACGAGTACCTGCTCTCGCTGACTCGCGAGAACGCGCTGACGACTATGGCCTCGCCGGGCAAGTCGGGCGCAAGCTTCTACTTTTCTAACGACCTGCGGTTTGTCATCAAGACCATCACTCACGCCGAGGCCAAGTTTCTGCGCTCCATCCTCTACCGGTACTATCACTACATGTACTCCAACCCCAACACGCTTCTCTCCAAGTTCTGCGGCCTGCATCGGCTGCAACCGCGCAAGGGGCCCAAGGTATACTTTGTCATCATGACCAACGTCTTTCCGTCATGGCTCGACGTCCACGCCCGCTATGATCTCAAGGGCTCGACCCATGGGCGGTCTGTCGGGCCCGCGGTCATGGCGCTGCCGCCGTCCGAGCGGGCGTCGGCGGTGCTGAAGGACCTTGACTTTGTGGCGCTGGGCAAGAAGATCCGGCTCGGCCCGGCCAAGGCCAACCTGTTCAAGGCTCAGGTTCGTCGTGACGTCGAGTTCCTCGCCTCGATCAACGTCATGGACTACTCGCTCCTTCTCGGCGTCCACGACCTCAACATTTCCAACTCGGCCCGGCTCCGCGCGACGCTGCTGAAGCGTGTGACGCCAACAGCCCCCGCGCTCGCCGATCGCGACGCCATCCGCCGCGCTGGTCTCAAGCGCAAGGCGCGCCGCGCCGCCAAAACCGCCCTCTACAAGCGCCCCGTCCTCGTTTCGCCGCTCTCGACTTCGGACCTGCCCTCGCTCACCCACCAGCCGTCGGTCGCCTCTGGCGTCCCGGGATCGGTCTTTTCCTCGGTCTTCACCGCAGAGCTGGGCGGTCTGCAGTCGACCGATGCCAGTGACGCACCGCTCTCAGAGCTCTACTTTCTGGGCATCATCGACTTTCTGCAAAAGTACAACGTGAAGAAGACGCTCGAGCACAAGTACAAGTCGTTCCGCTTCGACAGGACTTCCATTTCGGCCGTCCCGCCCAATCTCTACGCCACCCGCTTCTACTCGTTTGTCACCGACTCGGTCCTCTCCGATCCGAACCCGCCTTCCGAAGTAGTCCTCGCACCCGAGGCGCCGGCCTCGGTCCCGGTCCACCCGGATCATGCCGCAGTCCTTGCCGGCGGTCGTGTCGTCTCAGTCTCGGAGCGCCTCGACGAGTCGGGCAACATCATCCGCACCACCCGGGTCCGCCGCCGCCACCGCCGCCGCCGCTCGTCGCGCGCCTCGCTGCATGCTCGTGCCTCGTCCTCGCGCGCCCGCGACGCTGGGCCCTCAGGCCTTCCATCGTCAACTCCGCCGTACTCGTACGCCTCGTCGGAATGCGAGGAAGTGGTCGTGAGCACGCTCTACCCGCCGGGCCACCTGCGGTCGGCGTCGGTCACCCACGATGGCCAGCTCTCGGAAGGTAGCCATTCATCGGGTCTCGACTCGTTCGCCGACTCGGCCTCGTCGACGCTCTTCTCGTCGTCGTCAGGAGATGGCCACGCCGGGCCGTCGAGCCTGCCGCCGCCGCGCCCGCTTCGCCTGAAGAATCCGTCGCCGCCGCCCGCTCGCTCCGGCCCACCTCATCCGCGTCGCAAGCGTCGCCGCCGAGGGCATACAGCTGCGTCGCCACCCAAGTCCAAACCCGAAGAATCTTCGTGGTCTAACTCGTGGTCGAGCTCGTTGTGACGCACGCCATGGCCTGCAATGTTTTACGACAATGCCGACTCGCTCGCATACGAGCTGTAGCCGTAGCTGGAGACAGCTGTCGAATCGCGCCAGCCGGAAGCCACCATTTCGATATCTGAATCGAGTGAGATCGGATCCGGCAGCGGCGTGTCCACAAAGTAGGTGTCGATGGAGAATACAGGCGAACCACGGTGCGAGTTTTCCGCGTCCGAATCCGAGTTCGGGTCTGAGCGCTTTCCCCGCTTGTTCTTCTTCTTGCTCTTCTTCCCCTTCCCCTTGCTCTTTCCAATCGTCCTCTTGCCCTTCCTCTTGCCTCTGCCGCGATCAGAATCGTCTGAGCTCACCGAGAGTCGCTTGGCCTCGTTGGCGATGGCTCGCTTGGACTTGATGGCCTGGCGGGCCGAGTGGCTGGCTGCGGTGGGCGAGTTGAGACGGAGGCGAATGACGTTGCGGCGGTTTGTCCAGGGAACAGTGCGGGTGTAGCGGTAGTCACCGCCTTCGAGGACGACCGAGGCAGCCGAGAGAAACTTGCTCCAGCGGAGCTTGAGGCCCGTAGGCGGGTTGTTGGCAATGGGTGAGGCGACGACCTGGCGAGCAACGAGCTTGTCGTCGTGGGTGATTTCGCCCTGACAAGTGGCGTGCATGTCACCGCAGACGACGATGACATCGCGCTCGAGTTCATCCTCGTCGTAGCGCCAGGCGTGGAGGAGGCGGACGAGGGCGGCCTGCTCATCGCGGAAGCGGGCAAAGCCCATCTTGTCGCGGATCCACGGCATGGTCGTCGAGACGCAGCACGACATGCACTTGTCAGCGTAGACGAGCGGAATAGAGGAGACAACAATGAGCGAGCGAACGTTGCCAAAGTGTGAGACCGGGAGTCTAGCCAGCGCCTTGCCCTCGGGCGAGCGCTTCGACGGCACGTACTCGCCATCCGAGAGAAGAGCGTCGAGCATGTTCCACTGGGTCACGCCGAGCATGGCGGCGTGGTTGTCGCGGGTGTCCTCGTTGGAGCGGGCGTGGAATGACCGCGCGCCGCGGACGTCGAGGACGACAATGCCGAGGGTGCCCCAGCGGAGGGCAAATGCATCGGCGTGCACGTCGGGGAAGCGCAGGTCGTCAAAGTGCTCGAGCTGGGCATCCCAGAGCGTGCGCTGGTACTCGTAGAAGACTTTGCGGGCGATAGAGCCGACCCAAAAGTCGAACGAAGATGGATCCCGGTGGGAGGAGAAGGTCGACCAGTCGTTGACCAGCTCGTGGTCATCCCACACCATGATGTGCGAGGAGCGGGCGAGGACTCGCCGGGTCACTGCGTTGCCCCACGTCCGCCGGTATATGTCGCGGTAGTGCTCGGCGAGCTTGTCGGCGCCCTCCAGCCGCCACCACGCACCCTCGGACCGCTTGTCCTTCATCCGCGCCACCAGCTCGTGCGCCTCCTCCGCCACGGCCTTGAACGCCGAGTCGGCGTAGACCTGGTCGCCGAGGTGGATCATAATGTCGGCAAAGAGCGGCGAGGTGTCAAAGGCCTCATCGACCCGCTCCCACATGGCGTCGTGGTCGGCAATCGTCAACTTGTCGCACGAAAACGCCAGGACCGAGATTGTCGCCGCGTCGACCTCGTCGTCGGGCGGAAAGGTGGCGATCCACCCGCGTCCCGCGCCGGGGTTCGCCAGCTCGCCATTGCCCGACACTACAACCACCCGAACCTTGTACATTGTCGACGGCTCGAGCTCGAGCAGTGTCACTGCCACCGGCGCGCGGCCCGAGCAGGCGACCCGCGCCGAGACCTCCTCGCCTGGCTCTTCCAGAGCAGCCAAGCTCCGTGCACTGCGGTCAATGGCTGCGTGCGGAGTGGCGACTACCTCCAGCTCTGCCGCCGCATCAGTCTCGACCAGCACTCGCGCCGACGTAGCGGTGACGAGGCCGATGACCGGGCCGACCACCAACGTGGGCGGCGTGTCAAAGCCCGACGTCACCGACACCGACACCGAACCCAGACCATCTGCTGTGTAGCGACTCCCGGGCGACGAGACCGAGTCTGAGACCGAGTCCGAGACCGAGTCCGGGACCGAGGCAGACGCCGATGTTGATGCTGACGCCGATGCTGATGCAGACGCCGATGTCGATGCCGTCGATGACCTGGCCTTGTTCCCTTTGCTGTACCCCTTGCCCTTGCCCTTCCTCTCCCTCTTCCCCTTCCCCTTCCTCTTCCCCTTGCCCTCCCCCTTCCTCGTCCCCCTCCCCTTCATACTGCTCTTCTTCACACCCATACTCTCTGCGTGCGACAAGTGCTTCTGTCTGCCCCTCCGCTTCCGCTGCCCTGTCGCTGCCGTGTCATTGCCATTGCCAGCACAGCACACGACACGCCACGGGCCACGGGCCACAGGCCACAGGCGACAGGCGACAGGCCACGCCCCAGACGACAAACAACCCACAACAGACGGCGTCGGTGACATTTGACGTCGACAGCACCCAACTCCAATACCCGGGACATGGCGGCGGCTAGCCAACCGGCTTCGTGCCTGGAGCTGGAGATGACGGTGGCGGTGGAGGGCAAGGAGGGTGCGGTCGGGCTGACAGCAGGAGCGTACGCACCGCAGGGGCGATACCTCCTCGCGGGAGACTCGGCGGGTGAGGTACATCTGTGTAACCTGGTCGATGGCCTCCATGTTGCGGCTCTGCCACATGCTGCAAAGGCCGTCAAGGCGCTGGCTCTTACTGCGGATGGCGCTCGGTTTGCTGCAGGTTCGGGCGACAAGGCCCTCGCGGTGTGGGACATCGAGTCCGGCGCTCCTGTCCGCCGATGGGACCGCTTGCCGGGTGTGCCTGCGGGAGTCGCCCTCAACGGCCCGGGTTCGGTCTTGTTCGCCGGATCGCTCAGCAGCGTGCTTGTCTATGACGTCCGCTCGGGCGTCCGCACCCCGCTGCAGGTGCTCAAGGGGCCGACCGACCGGGTTGTTGACATTGTCTTTGACGAGAGCCACGCTCCGGATCCGCTGCCGGCGCCGGTCATCCGCGCCGCCTCGCTTGATGGCAGCGTGTGCAGCTGGGAGCTTCGATCCGGCCGCTTGGTGGTCGACGAGCTTGGGGAGGGCGGGCTGGCCTCGCTCGACGTCTCTGTCGACGGGCAAATGCTGCTGGTGAGGACTCTCTCGGGCCACATCGGATCGTACGCGGCTGCCTCTGGCGAGGCTGCGATGTGCTACGCTGAGCGCGGCATGCGCGAGGACCAGCTGCGAACGAACGCAGTGCTGGCGGGGCGGGGCACCACCGTAGTGGCCGGCGACGCCGACGGCGGCCTGCGGGTGTGGCAGGCGGCAACCGGGGTGCTTTCCGGCAGGCAGGCGGCCGCGCACGACTCGGTAGTCACCCGGGTCCTTGCTGCGCCGGTCCAGCCACGGGTGGCGAGCGTGGGCATGGACGGCAAGGTCAAGGTGTGGCGGCTGACTCCTTCCTGACTACCCGGATGCCGCGGCCGGCGAGGCCGGTGCTCGGCGAGCTCGGACGCGGCTGCTTGTCGTTGCTGTAGAACGGCGGAGTGAGGAGGCCCTTGGAGCTCTGGATGCGGTAGACACCTGGTACGGCCGACGACGGCAGCGAGCCCGACGCTGCAGCCGAGTTGTACGACTCGAGCGAGGCGTAGCCGCTGTAAGGCGACGTGCCGCGCGACCAGGACGATCCCCTGAGCGGCGAAAAGGCGCCGATGGCTGCCGTTGCCGCGGTCGTCGACTCGTCGAGTTCGCCACGGACCGACGAGAACTGATAGATGACGGCGGCAATGGGGACGTAGAACGTGATAGAGTGGACCAGGATGCGCTCGACGACCAGCGCGGTGCCGGACGAGGCGTGAAAGGTGTAGCACGGCTCGTTTGACGAGTCGCCGGCCGCCACGGCGAGCTGGACAATGTAAAAAGCGAGCGAGAGGTATGCGCAGGTGGCGTAGATGATGATGAGGATCCAGAGCTTGCGCTTCTTGGCACGGTAGTAGGCGCGCGAGATGGAGTTTCGGGCGACGAGCGAGCTGAGCTTGACCTGGATGTAGACGCCGGCAATGACAAAGACGGTGGTCATGATGGCACCAGTGCTCACCATGATCATCCACACGGGGCTCTCGCAGCCGGCGCCTGCGGAGCGGGTGTCGTTAAAACCAAAGATGAGGATGACTAGGACACCCTCCATGATGTAGAGGCCGCCAAAGGCGGGGAAGACGAGCGATCGGAGCATAAACTCTTGCCGCGAGATAGTCAAGGCATACATGCATAGATTGAGGGCGACAGTGATGATGACCAAGTTCTCCAGAATGTGTGCGGTGTACATCATGTTCTGAAAGGGGAAGGCGAACCAGCCCACAAAGGCCACCGACGACTCGAGGGTGCAGAACATGAGGATGAGCATACGGGTAGCACGGTATCGCTGACCAGCTCGCCACACCCGAACCAGCCCCACACTCCCAGCAATAGCCAGCACCAGTGCCATGGCCGCAAGGACCGCAAACTGGGTGCACAGCTCGGTGCCCGTCAGCTTGGCGTGCGGCGACGTTGCGGCACCGCAATGTATGACAGCAAAGGTCGGATGGCCTGCACATGGCCTGCCCGTCAGTGCCAGTGCCACTACCACCACACACAATGCCTTCCATATCACTCGTCGTGTTCCCTGCCGCTCCATGTCTCGTGCTTGCGTGGGTGGCTGGGGGTCGGCGGCGTCGGCTACGTGAGGTGGCGTGCCTGTCTCTCTCCGCTTCCACCCCGCCAAACCTCGGTGGCGCCGTTTGTTGGCCATAGTCCGCTGGCACCGTGGGGCGACTCCCACACGAGGACGTGTTACTCGTCGTGCGGCTATCGATCATGCAGTTGTCCATCGTGCGGTGGGTAATCACACGGCTGGTGACTTGTGGCTGGCGGCTGAGAGTCGAGCCACGGCAGAGCGCCAGAGCTTAGAGCTTGGACGACTTGCTGGCGCCGCGGAGCTCCAGTTTGGCCACCGTTCGCCAGTGGACTTCATCGGGGCCATCGGCAATGCGCAGGGTCCGCGCTTGGGCCCAGAGGTAGGCGAGCGGGGTGTCCTGCGAGACGCCGGCAGCGCCGTGAGCCTGGATGGCGCGGTCGATGACGTCGAGAGCCATGCGCGGGGCAACGGTCTTGATCATGGCAATCTCCTTGCGGGCCTTCTTGTTGCCGTACTTGTCCATCATGTACGCGGCGTGGAGGACAAGGAGGCGGGCGGCGTCAATCTCGCACCGCGACTTGGCAATGTCGATCTGGATGGAGGCGAGGGCGGCGAGCGGTTTGCCAAACGCCACCCGGCGCTGGACGCGGTCAACCATGACCCGCAGCGCACGCTCGGCGGTCCCGATGAGGCGCATGCAATGATGGATGCGGCCGGGACCGAGCCGGCCCTGTGCAATCTCAAAGCCGCGGCCTTCGCCAAGGAGCATGTTTGCGGCCGGAACGCGCACGTTGTCAAACACAATCTCCATGTGCCCGTGCGGGGCGTCCGAGTAGCCAAAGACCTTGAGGTGGCGGCGGACGGTGAGGCCTGATGCGTCCATGGGGACCAAGATCATCGACTGCTGCAAGTACTTGTGGGCGCTGGGATCAGTCTTGCCCATGACGATGAGGAAGGCGCAACGCGGATCACCCGCGCCCGACGTCCACCACTTGCGGCCATTAACGACGTACTCATCGCCGTCACGGACAATCGAGGTGGAGATGTTGGTGGCGTCGGACGAAGCAACGTCGGGCTCGGTCATGGCAAAGGCCGATCGGATGCTGCCATCAAGCAGCGGGACGAGCCAGGTGGCCTTTTGCTCGGGCGTGCCGTAGCGGGCGAGAACCTCGGCGTTGCCGGTGTCGGGCGCGGCGCAGTTGAAGATCTCAGGCGCCCAGAGGACCTCGCCCATGATCTCACACAGCGGCGCATACTCAAAATTGGAGAGGCCCGCTCCAAGCTCCGACTCTGGCAGGAACAGGTTCCACAGGCCGGCGGCCTTGGCCTTCTCCTTCAGCTCCTCCATGAGCGGCGGGACGGCCCACTGGCCGACCTCCTCGTGCTGGGCTGCCATGGCCGCCTCGTTGGGGTACACATGCTCGTCCATGAACGCACGCAGCGCTTTCATCAGCTTCCGTGTCTTGGCTGTGTACTCCATCCTGTGGCTGGTGAAGGGAGAGGTGGCGGTAAGGGAAAGAGGTGGCTGCAAGGGGTGGGGGGTGAGGGGGGGGGGGCAAGGGCGGACAGGCACATGACGGGCCGAACCATACCCATGACTATGACCATGACCATGACGAAGATCATGGATCATCATACTCACCATGACCACCATCACTCCCCCCTCCCCCTTCCACCATCACTTCCAGCCCCTCATCGCCACA